ACTCTTTCCTCTCCACTGAAGGACTTGATCTGGAATGTTAGCCCATGCTCAAATGCTTTCTTCAGCAGCACTGCTGTCTTCTGCCCTTCCCTGTTGTCAGGCAGGTAGGCATGGAAAGTTCCCCCTTTGTAAGGCTGTCCTGGGCAGGGGTCGCCAACCTTATAATGAGAAGAAAACATTTTAAACAACCACCTGCGTGCAGACCCTCAGATCCGACTTCTGAGATTCTGTCCAGCTTGAAAATACATGGAAGTTTGTGGCCCTGTGGGCTGATACTCCTTTGAATTAAAGCTGGAGTTCATATGCTTTTGAAAAGCAGCAAGCTGCTCCCAAACCCTGTGTAGAAATTTTGCCTTCCACGAGGCAATACCTCTACCACTTTGCACATGATGTATGAGCTATAGCTGCCTACACTCCCAGAACCCACTGCATTGCCTGCAGCAGGAGGGGAAAGGCCCCTGTGGCTAGGTACCTACCCCTTGCACACCATCAGGGATGTTGTAGGCAACCTGAAGCGTTAGGTCTCGATAGTAACCAGGCAGGCTCTGTGACAGGGAGGAGAGCTTGAATGTCCCCGAGAGCTTGCGGCCTGGGGCAACAGAGTTGGCACGGCAGCAAGCCGGCTGGGTACTATCTGCTGCAAAACAGGTCCTGCACAGGGCATGGCCACAGGGTGCCTGACATGTCACACATGCATCCTGGCAGGCATCACACCGATTCAGAGGAGTCTTGCATGTTTCCTGTCCAAGGCTGGGGCCTCCTGTCTGCAGTGATGAGCAGTCAGGCTCCTCCTGCGCATTGGTCCTGCCAGTCGGGAGTAGGGCCCTTTCTTGGCCCATGGAGTCTGCTGCGGGTGACTGCTCTGTTGTAGCCTGGTGTGGCTCAGGGGTCATAGCCCTGTAGAGCCAAGCAGGTAAGGAGTGAGGAGCACCGTCTGCTGCAGGAACTGGTGACCGCAGATGTCCCATCTCCTCATTGTGGCCTCCTCTGCTCTTGTGTCTTGCAAACTGGAATCTATCTGGCAAAACCTGCTTTAGCCGTGCAACGTCAGGCTCCCCACTAGATAGCTTTGTCTTTGGCTGGTCTTGGGACTCCCTCAGGCCAGCAGGACTTTGGTTGGTCACTCCAGTAGGGCTGAGAAGGCTGCTTCCTCCTGGCACAGCCCTAGAATCTGCATGGTCATTGGCCTCCTCCTGTCCCAACGCTTGCTGGAACTGCCAAGGGCTGGGAGGGCTCGTTTCCTCAGCCCCTTGCAGCTGGAAAGCCCCAAGCGCAACTGAGTGGGCTGCTTTATCATTAATGTCCAGGTGCTGTAGGCCCATATGTAGGGACTCCAGGCTATCGGGAAGGGCTGCACCCAGCATAGCATCCTGGCTTCTCCTTGGCTGGATGGCACTTGGTGACTCTTCACTCAACGCTCTCACTGGTCCTGGAGACAAGGATGAAGCCTTCAGGGCATGCCGTCTCCTGGAAGAAAACACCTGGAATGCCTCAGTCACGCCTGGCAGCATCTCCTTGGGGCAGGCAAGATATAACTTGTACTTATCTTTGCTTAGTCCAACCTTGAGGGAACTTCCTTGCAAGAGGCTGCACAGTTCGCTCAGGGCATTGTCATCTGGCCCATCTATAGCAAGCTCCGAGTAACTCATACTCTGACACACGAGGTCAGGACACTTTTGCACAAGAGTTTCCACCTTCCATCTAGCCTGAAAAAGCTTGTTCCTGTCCTCTGCCTCCAATGTCAGCACAGTGCAGTCCCCAGCACGATGCTCTGAGATCTGCACGCTGCCATCCCTGCACAGTTCCTCAATAGCAGAACGGCAAACGTCTTTCAGGTAAGACCACTGCAGCAAGTCCAGGCTCATTTCTTCACTCACCCTATCACCTCCACTGATGGCCCTGACAGTGTCTCGGGGCTTGCTGCTTTCCCTTGATTTTGGCAGGGAGAAGCTATTGGAGCGTCGCAGCAAGGCCTTAGATTCAGAGGGTTTAGAGTCCAACGTGGAAGAGGCCCTTGTTGTGTCAAAGAGATTCAGGGACTGAACGGTACCAGTCATGCTAGTGAGGGGTCGGTGCTTGATGGGACTTGAGCCTTTAGAGTCCCCAGAATGCTGCGAAGTGCTGTTTTCTTTGCCCCCAAAGGGAGACAGGGTCTTGGGTCGTGTAAGCACAGCACCTCCTTTCATATGGTCCCATTCTTTGGGGTCCTTCTGCTGACACTCTGCTGATGACCCCAAGACCACATCTCTTGTAGTGACACGAGCCTGGTACTGCTGGCTCAGTGCTGCTGGGTCGCTTGGACCGAGGGCATCTCTTTCTGATAAGTGCTTTCCAGAAAGCTGTGCTTGTTGCACCAGTGGAGAGTCCTGATTCAGCAAAAGCCCTGGGCTGGCCTGAGATTGGTTAGCTTTCGGCGTGCTGAAGCTGGCAGCTAGCTGGGGCTCACCTTTCAGCTCCAACTTTCTTGGGCTGCGCCCTGAGGATGAGGTGTTCCCAGGGCTTCTGGACTTGTGCAGTGCAGCCTCTACAGTGTGGGAGGTTGCCAGGTGTGAGGGCGGGGAGCTTCTGAGTTTGCTGATTGTGTGCGCAGCCTCTCTTCTGGTGCTGAAATCTTGAAGATACTGCTTGGCCTGGGAAACATCAACCAGGTTTCCAATGAGATAAAGCTGCCTCTCATCCTCATGGCAGAGCAGCCGGGGATACAGTTTCTGCAGCTCCCGTGACAGAGCCCTCTGTGCCTGGCTGTCCACATCCAAGCCTCCCTTGTCAATCTTCTCCTTGCGTAGGCTCACTTCCAACTGCTGGTAGAGCTGCTGCAGAGCCAGGCGGGCCTGTCCCAAGGCAGCCATGTCCCCAGATGATGTACCTGCAGATGGTTGGAGGTACAGTATGACGATGCCATCATTGCTAACGTCAACCACGTCCACATGATGCCGGCATAGCACACCATGGTACTCGTAAGCACAGAACCTCTGCATGTACAAGTAAATATCTGAGTCCATCACTAGGGAGAAGTCCTCTAGCTGCTCCATGGCTTTCCCATCCACTGGACTTCGATGTGATGGGACCTCAGCTGCCTTTTCACACACCTGGTCCCAGTGTGGCAGTTTTGCTGACGTCTTTGGTGCTGATTCAATGGAGACAGGCTCTTGCTGGTGATCGTGCATCCTGGTGCCTTGGGCCACATGGCTGGAGCCTGGCGGGAGACTCTCTCCAACTGGTTGGCTTTTGATGTTCAGGCTGCACAGTAGATCTCTGCTGAAGGCCTGCAGCTCAGTGAATGGTCCCTTGACTATGCAGTGTGTGTCCTTGGAGTCAAAGTTGACCTGCACATTGCTATAGCCTTTATGCAAGTTCCTCAGGAGGGTTTTGCCAGCAGGAAGCTTCCCATAGTCGACTATCATGTAAACATGTATGAAGATCTACAGAAACAGGGTAAGGGGGTGAGCAAGCAAGGACCAACAGCACCCCCACCTGCAAGGCACAGGGGAGGTAAAGGCACCTGGCACTTGCCATAGTCCCTGCATTATTATGACAGAAGAGATGACACGACCTGTCACCTCCAGCTCCCTGCATCCTGCTATTCAGAATAGGTGGGAGTAGAACACAGGCAGGACAGAAAGCTCCAGCCAGCTCAAGCAGCTTTTGGGCTTCCTACCCATCCTGCACAGAGATGCAGCCCCACTTACACATGCTGTGAGCTGTGCAAACAGCCCAAAACCAAGCAATCCACTCTCCTGGCTCGAATACAATCCCTTCTGCATCTGAAATGCAGTTGCCTACTTGCTCTCCCCATCCTCCAGCTATAGTCCATCAAGCAGTCTGGCACCATGGACCTGTGGAAAGGTCTCCAATGCCTGGCTAGCTAGGTGCCCTGCCTGGGCGTTCAGCACGCAGCCCTGAGACGTGGCTACTGCCCCAGCCTCCTGAAACCAGAGGAAGACACAAGACATCCCCAGCGCCTCGTGGGCACCAGTGTGTCTCCTAACCTCTCCTGCCAGGGGGAGAGAGGAAAAAGACACGCTTTGCCTGTCCAGCTGATGACACGGCTGAGGCATTAAGCGCATCCCCCCATGGACCACCAGATGGGCTGGGGAAAAGCGCGCCCCCTCCAGTCTTACCGCTCTCCCTTCCTTTGGCAGGCACAAACACTGGGCAGCCGAGGGCAAAGCCCGCTCGGCTGTTCCTGTGCTCATGCCTCACTTGAATACAAATGAATTTAACTCTCATGCAGCCGGCAGGAAGGCGCGAGGTCTCCCTTGCTGCGCGCGTGTGCCGGGCGGGACGGCGCC